CCATGTATTCACCATCTCCTCCATCCCTACCCCCCATCCCTTTAGCATGGTGCAAAATTTGTGTTGCAAATGCTGCAGGGGAATTTTTAAAAAATCCTTTGGGATAGAGAGGGAAAAAAATTATGACATATTTTAAATGGTCTTAGGTTTTGTGTAAGGTATTTTCACACAACCTACATTTTGGGCCCCGTTTGTCTTGACAGTTTCCATATACAGTAGAACTTCAGAGTTACAAACACTAGACTTATGAACTGACCGGTTAGCTACACACCTCATTTGGAACCAGAAGTATGCAATCAGGCAGCAGCAGAAACAAACAAAAAAGCAAATACAGTACAGTATTATGTTAAATGTAAATTACTAAAACAAAGAGAAATTTTTAAAAATTGAGAAGGTAAGGAAACTGTGTGCTTGTTTCATTTAAATTAAGATGGTTAAAAGCAGCATTTTTCTTTTGCATAGTAAAGTTTTTCCAAGTTATATTAAGTCAATGTTCAGCAGTAAACTTTAGAAAGAACAACCATAACTTTTTGTCCAGAGTTACGTACAACCTCCATTCCCCAGGTGTTTGTAACTCTTAGGTTCTACTGTAACAGTGACCTAAAGTCTTGTGAGAGGAGGTACCCAGTTAACCACTTCATTTTTCAATACCACTTATCATTTGCCCAAGTTTGCAGCTGCTGAGCAGGGAGGCAGAACTTGTTCCTGTTAGACACTTAATGTTCTTATGTTTTCCATGCCTTTGTCATGCTCACCAGTTCTCTTTCTGTTCCTATGTTCTTTGCAGAAATCTAGAACTCCTGATCAGGCAGACAGCACTTTTGGACATTCCCATAGACAGGTATGGAAAGGAGCTTGTTGTCAGGAATTGTAGGCAGTCTTTGCAATTAACAGGCTGTTCCTGTCTCTTGGGTTTGGAAGGCTGAATGGCGGAGGGGGACAGACTGTTACTCTGGAGAATCATATTTTTGCATCAGCTCCATGAAACTTTATCCAAAAGCATCTTAAAACTATTCATTTCCTGAAACTGTATGGAACTAGATGAACATGCTACCCTCTCACAGCATTAAATGAAAGATCTGTTGCTTTGTAGACACCCATTTCCCCACCTCAAAATGGAAAATGCTTTTTGAACATCAAAGTTTATTTCAGAAACAGTGCCTCTGTGTAGTTAGGAGAGAGCGCTGCCTGGTATTTGAAGCAGGGCATTGGGAGCCAGGACTCCTGATTTCTATTCCCAGATCTACCACTGACTTGCTGTGTGATCTTGTAAAAGCTGTGTAGTCTCTTTGTGCCTCAGTTTATCCTGCAGTTTAATGTGTGCTATACCATCTACCCTGCAGGGGTGCTGACCCTCAAATAATTGTTTGTAAAGTGCTTTGAGATCTTCAGAAGAAAGGCATCATAGACCCCTGCTGTGTTCTGTCCACATGGGCTCAGAATTACAGTAGTTACTCCTCAGGAAAACAAATGGAAGCACGTGCAGATGCAAATGTCACCTAGAATTTGTTTTCTGTCCCAAACTGGTGTGCTGTTTGTGTGCTGTTAAGCAGCTGCTGTGTTGTGCTCCAGAAATGCCTGCATTTCAGTGGTGGGTGAATTGATCCTTGTAAAGAGTTTATTGTATACAGCACTTTGGAATCATTTGTGATAAAAAGCGCAGTTTAAGTAGATTACATGTGTTTAAGTCAGCTTGTCTTTTATAATGCTCTAGGAATACTTAGCCTGCTCCAACAACACCTACAATATTAATCTGTATTTGGTTGAAACTGGGCAAAGACTGCTGGATACCACGATTACCTTCAGCTTAGAGCAGAGTGGCACCAGGCCTGAGCAGGTATGTTAGGAGCCTCTCTCCTGTTGTTGAACGTGGTCAGAGATGTGTGCATGGAGTTTCTCTTTACATCAGACTTGTCTGTATTTTGAGGCTTATCAAACTTTTTGCTGCAGCCAAACAGACAAATCCCTGATTTAAGGTAGTATGATCCGTTGGGTAGGATACTAGTTTGGGAGTCAAGGAGATCTGGCCCCTACGTGCCTCTACCACAAACTGTTGTTTGACTGTGGCCAAGTCATTTCACCTTTCTGCATCTGTTTCCCCAGCTGTAAAAGGGGGTTAGTGAAATTTACCCACCTTTGTAAAACACAAGATCTATAGCTGAAAAGTGCTGCATATTATGACCGCCTTTCCTGACTGGCAGAGCCGGTCAGAGCTCCTTGGGTGATCAGAAGGGATTGCTGGTAGTGAGAAGTGACTGCAAGACCACCAATGTACCCATGATGTTTTTGATCCAGATATGGTGGCATTGCTTATACCTGGGTTTATGGAGCCTGGTTGTAAGGGCGGGGCAATGGTGGATTGGACGGAACCTCATATATCAGGGGAGGGTTGACACCATAGAATAATATTGCCAAGCACAAAATAGCTGCTGCAATTGCCAGTGTGGTCTTGGCACTGCTGATGTCTAACACGGTGCTTTAAAATACTTGAAGTATGAGAGTTGCTGTATGAAACCAGACTCTAGTTTGCCTCTAGATTTGTGAGAAGTGTACCCGAAGGTAGCACCTCATCTATTTGTTGCTTTAGAATAGTGGTGCTCAACCTATTTACCATTGTGGGCCACCTATGCAGCTCTCTGTGTTATGTGGGCCACATCCACACAATATATATACTACCTGTATGGCTCTGAGGATGTCACATGAGCCGCAGCTCTGTGCCGATTGGGCCGCAAGTGGCCTGCGTGTTGAGAACCACTGCTTTAGGACCTTAAATGTAACAGTGATCTTGAACCCTTTCCTCTTCTCCCCTTTGGATTGCATCTTGCTTGTCTCGGGCAGGAGGTTATAATCATGATCGTCTCCTCTTTCCTTGTCTCCCTTTTCCAGCTCTATATCCAGGTCTTTTTGAAGAAAGATGACTCTGTGGGTTACCGAGCACTGGTGCAAACAGAAGATCACATGCTCATGTTCCTCCAGCAGCCAGGTAAGTTGGAACCAGATTGGCTGGTTACCCCTGTCCTATAGTGTATCCTCTCTTGGCACTTGCAATAGTGCAAGTTCAGTGGCCATTGTCTAGTCAAGCAGATTATTTCCTGAGCTAAATCCCATAGAGGAGTGAGAAAACTAGGAATATCCCTCACCCCCACAACTTGAATTTTCCTTCACTACCAGAGCTGAGAATCTGATCCTGCAATGTGCTTTGTTGAAGCAACAGCCTGTTGGCTTTAGTGAGGCTCTGCAGGGTTTCAGGGTTCTGCCCACACAGAACTTATTGCAGAACAGGGACCTGTAGCAGCTATTCCTCGATGCCTTTTTGAAAAGAAGGGAAATTCCTCAGACAAAGTATGGTGTTAAACTTTAGGGTGGAGTTAAGAGTCCATTTCTGTTGCTTGGGTCTTTGAGGCCTTGCAAGAATGTTAGAGGTTGAACTTCGTGGGTTTGGTTTTTTTAAAACTTTTGTTTTTGATTACTCCAACCCTTTTGCAAGCCCTTCAGTGCTCAAGTCATGGGTGTGTACTTTCAACAGTGTCTCTAGTGTAATGAAGTGAGGGGGGGGTTGTTAGTGATTAAATACCAGTGTGTTCATTATTTTAGTAGACAGTAAATATCCAAATTGCTTCAGAAATGTGGCATTTTGCGATTTATTAAGCAGCTGTTTACGTTTGTGAAGACCAGACAGAAGATCCTTCAGTCCCAAGTGTTAGGGGTATAGCTGTCAATCCATTTCAAGGGACTGGATTTGTAAGATCTTCCTGTCTCCTGATTGCTCTCAGGAACAAACATAGCACAGATCAGGAAATGCACTTGCTCTTTTCTTTGAATCAACCTATGTTGCCTTTTCTTTGTATCTCTCTAGGAAAAGTTCTATGGAGCAGGGAGGAGTCGTTGGCGGAAGTGGTAAGCTTGGAGATGGTGGATCTACCTCTGACGGGTGCCCAGGCTGAGTTGGAAGGGGAATTTGGAAAGAAAGCAGGTAATAGCCAGGGTCCCACTCAGTGTTCCCTCTAATTTTTCCCACACGTGTGTGGAATGAATTTTGTTATGTGCACCAGTGTGGAGGTTGGTGGAGGGGAGGCCAGCCTACCTACTGGCGCCTCTACCTTAGCAACGACCTTTCATCGCCCAACGAGACCCAATCACAAAGCCTTCTCTCCGGGGCCAGGGCACGGGGGCCAGCGCAGACTACAAGTCCCAGCACACATTATGTCCTGGAGTGGGCCTGCCGGACCAGCAGGAGGTGCCTGATAGTCTGTGCTCCTTCACGGCTCTAAACCAATCAGAGCCTTCTCCACCATGAGGCATGAGAATACGAACCAAACAGCGCCTGAGTTGGTGTGAGGATTTGGACCAATTAGCGCCTGCCGCAGCTGGGCTGGGTTCAGGCTGCCCCTCCCCCCAGGACCAGGGCGGGGCTGGGGGAGGGGCACCCCTCTCCTGGCTGTGGCAGGTCCTGGCTGGGCGGGTTCCCTGAGTGTCTGTGTGGTGCTAAATGGGCTGCTGCGCAACCACGCAGCTTACAGGGAACTTAGGACCCACTATGTATAGATTCATAGATATTAAGGTCAGAAGGGACCATTATGATCATCTGGTGTGACCTCCTGCACAATGCAGGCCATAGAATCTCACTCACCCACTCCTGCGGTAAACCTCTCACCTATGTTTGAGCTATTGAAGTCCTTAAATCATGGTTTAAAGACTTCAAGGTGCAGAGAATCCTCCAGCAACTGACCTTTGCCCCATGCTGCAGAGGAAGGCGAAAAACCCCCAGGGCCTCTTCCAATCTGCCCTGGAGGAAAATTCCTTCCCGACCCCAAATATGGCGATCAGCTGAACCCTGATCATATGGGCAAGATTCACCAGCCAGATACCCAGGAAAGAATTCTCTGTAGTAACTCAGATCCCACCCCATCTAACATCCCATCACAGGCCATTGGGCCTGTTTACCATGAATATTTAAAGATCAGTTAATTGCCCAAATCATGTTATCCCATCATACCATCTCCTCCATAAACTTAATCTTTAATCTTGGAGCCAGAGAGAGTTGAACTTGAACTAAAACGAGATCACACATAAAAGCTCTACTAATAGATTTTCCATATCCCTCTGGGTCGAGCAGAGAGAGAGTGATAGGGAAATTACAATAACCAGCTTGCCCGCTCTTACCAAAACGCTTCTGTTTGATTATCCTGTATTGTCTTACCCTGAAGACTGAAATATAATTGCCTTTATTGTCTTTCTTGCCATCCGGATCCAGCCATTCAAGGTAACCCAAAGAATCACATGCAGTTCCTTTCCTCTCTTTGCTGGTGGATCTTTGTCCTCCCTGTTTGGTTTCTTTCTCAGAGAAGAGATAGATTAAGCATAGGACATGGCTCCTAACTGGAAGCCAATTCAGACTTCAGTTGCCAAGATTTGGGTGCTTCTCCATAAAGATGGCTCCTGTTATGCGAGAAGTGAAAGCAGGAGCCGTAAGATCAAGTACACTAAGTGTACTTGCGGGAGTGATAGGGAAGAGACTCTGCACATGGTAGTGTTGCGGCTTGCAGGAAAGCTTGATCTGAGGCGAGTGGAGTGCCTGCTGAAGTGGGATATGGCAGTGTGTATTTAGGGGCTTGGTAGGCAAAGGAGCTTCTATGATGGTAATGGGATATAATATGATCCAGGTGTCGTGGAAGGTGAGGCAGAATTTTCTTAATTAATATATACGAGTATGGCAGCACATGAGTTTTATAGACTGAGGCACTAGTCTTATTTGCTGGGCTGTGTATATGTTTCCCCTGCTGTGGACCATTGCTTGTTGTGCTAACTGTTGTCACTGACTTGCTTGCAGACGGCTTGCTGGGAATGTTTCTGAAGCGCCTCTCCTCCCAGCTCATCCTGCTACAGGCCTGGACTGCACATCTCTGGAAGATGTTCTATGATGCCAGGAAGCCGCGGAGCCAGATTAAGAATGAGATCAATATTGACAACTTGGCGAGAGATGAGTTCAACCTGCAGAAAATGATGGTGATGGTCACTGCTGCAGGAAAGGTGAGGAGGGCAGGGACTGGAAGCCATTCCTGGCAATGGAGCATACTATCCTGGCAATGGTGAGGGGGGATTTGTGGTGGGAAAGGTGTCAGGAGACCAGCTGTCTTGTAGTAGAGGAGGGAACCCAAAGCAGAATGGAACATCTAGATGTGAAAGACACGCTGTTACATACGTTGGTTTTTTTTTTTTTGTCTCTTTGCTTCAGCTGTTTGGTATTGAAAGCAGCTCCGGCACCATCCTGTGGAAGCAATACCTACAGAATATGAGGCCAGGCTCCTCCTTTAAACTGATGGTCCAGAGAACAACGGCCCACTTCCCCCACCCCCCACAATGTACGCTGCTTGTTAAGGACAAGGTGAGTCCTTTATACGCGCGCACACACACGCCCACTCCCCCCTCCTCGGGTGGGTTTTACCTCCCCATAGTGAAAAATCCACAGTGTTAAAAATATCAGATTTGTGTTTTGTAAATGCTTTAAACGACGACAAAAAAAATAAATAATTTCATTCAATTGCTTTGTCCACTACATGAAGCAGAAAGTCAGCAAACCGTGTATGCTAGTTAAATAAGGTTTTCCCTCTGCTGGTCACACGACAGTATATACTCCACAGAAAATAGAAACACTCTTGCTTATTTCGGTGACATTCTGGGCAGGCCACAGTAGGGTCTCGTTCGAATTGTATGTATCATACGTGAACGCTGTGGGATCAGCAGAGACGAGGTGATTTGAGCGCACAGTATGTTCATCTGTAGGGTAAGGAGCTCAGTGAAGGGAGAAAGGGGGCGTAGAGAGTTACATCCAAATATAAACCAAGCCAGCAGGCAACTTCATAAGCTAGAAGAACAACCACCCTTCTCTGTGTTTGCCCTAACTAGTTTCCCATCCTGTTGTCTGTTTCAGGAGACCAAAATGAGCTCTCTCTATGTCTTTAACCCCATCTTTGGGAAGTGGAGTCAGGTGGCTCCCCCTGTTCTGAAGCGTCCAGTTCTTCAGTCTTTGCTTCTGCCCATCATGGATCAAGATTATGCCAAAGTGTTACTTCTGATCGATGATGAATACAAGGTAATCTTGCTCCTAGGGCAAAACGATCTCCATCTGCAGGATAAATATCTCCCCTGTCAAGGCAAGAAATAAGAACGTTGTCAGTTAAGTCTCATTCCCTTTGTGGGCTGACTTCAAGGGACTTCATCAAGATAAAACACATATTTAAAGCCGTATCTTTATCTTTGTCACTAATAACCCCATTAGAGTAACACAGAAACTTTAAAATCTAACTTGCTCCTTGTTGTTCTTGCGCTTTGTTTACCTCTTCCATTTCATTCAGCTTGTACCATGAAACCAGTCGTTGTCTTCACACTTGACTCTAGACAGTGTAACTCTCCTGGCTCTTGTGCATTAGGTGGCATAGTGCCATTTGTTTTATTTGGTTGTTTAATACTGCAGGGGAGAGCGACATCCCAAAACTGATGACTTTCATTGCAATTGAAAGAGAGTCACGAGAACCTATTTAGTCACATTAGGATTTGAAACCCCCATGGTTTTTAAAACAAACTCTAAATTTTCAATCTGCACTAAAATGATTCTACCCCTCTTTTTGGCCTCCTGGTGCAGAGGTAAAATATAGCAAGTCTCTGGCTTACAGATCAGAAAGCTGTGTTTCAAACACAGGCCACAGCCCCCTCCCCAGTGCAGATTCCCTACAGACCTCTTTATGTGGATGCAGATTCCCTATAGACCTTGTTATGTGGATGGTAAATGGCTTATATTCTTGCCAGGCAAAAATATAAGCCATTTATTGAACAGGGAAGGGTAGTGTTAGCTTCTCTATTACCCAAGGTGCCTCTGCCCTTGTTTAGCCAAATTCATCCTTAATTCAAGCCATTTACATCAGTGGAATTTACATCTGTGGTAAATTGGGCCCAGTAAGCTTAACTAGACTAGCTTACTTATATATGTGAGACTAAAAATTGATGATAACTAATGTCTTTGTTTAAACTCTTCTTTATCTTCCCAGGTTACAGCTTTCCCAGCAACTAAAAACATCCTCCGCCAGTTAGAGGAAATAGTCCACTCCATCTTTTTTTATATAGTGGATGCTGAACAGGGCAAACTCTCTGGTTTCCGGCTGCTAAAGGTACAGAAGATTCTCTGTGCTATGTAAGAAGTGACATGTTTATCCCACAGAGTGGATGTATGGTGGATCTTTGCTGTCATTGTATGGGATTTTGGTTTGATGTATAAGAAGTAGAGCTGGGTATGGACTTCTGACACTTCTCAAAAGCTTCCTGAAATCTTTGTAAACTCTCAGTTGTAAATAGTTTTACTGAAGAATCCAGACTTGTCTCCATCCTGCAGTTTGGTGGGATTCCACAAGAGGGAGCAGTTCTCCCATATTTCCCTGTTAAGATGCACTTCGGAGCTGAGGCGAGATGAGAGCACAGTAGTTCAAGTAATCTTTCCCACCCAGCTCCCCAAGGCTGTTGCCTATTCTGAGAACTAGTTTGGCTGCCCTAAACAATGGGCAGAGAAAGCATGTGCTCTTCCTCTAGTAAAAAGGGTTGACACCTGTTCTGGTGATCTTCTAAATCAGCGGGTCTCAACTGGGGGTCCATGGCTCCCTGGGGCTCCATGAGCCCTTTCAGGCACCACTGAAACCCTGAGCTCCGGGGCCCCCCCACAGGGCTGAAGCCGGGAGCAGCCTGGGGCTGAAGCCCTGGTGCTCCCCACTCCTAACCCCCCTGCGGGGCTGAAGCCCCACCCTTGGTGCCCCCCTGCATGGCTGAAACCTGGAGCTCCCCTCCCCCACCCTGAAGTCAGAGCAGCGGGGAGCTGAAACCCCGAGCTCCTCCCCCACCCTCCCCTCCCCCGCTGAAGCAGGAGCAGTAGGGCTGAAGCCCCGACATGGGCAGAATCCCTGAGCCCACAGGCAGAGTTGAGGGGGCATGAGGGTGTTGCCCCTCCACCAAACTGCAGTGCCTTACCCAGAGTGGGGCAGTCATGGGGGCAGCTCCACCTCCCCATACCTCCTCCTCTCCCTCAGGCCCCCTCAGCCCCCACCCTCTGGCCAGGTCCTAGGCAGGAAGCTGGAGCCAGGCAGTGCGGGGCAGCTGCTCCTCTGGTTGGTGGTGCCATGGAGTGGGTGGCCGTCGCATTCCCCCGTCTGCTGCTGGTGCCCAGGGTTGCAGCTGCTCCTCAGCTCCCAGCCCCCTTTGACTGACTGCTCATGCAGCCGGTCAGAACTGCCCAGGCAGGGACCTGGCTCCGGGGCTGGCAGAGCCCCACCAGCACACCACCCCAGACAGGTGAGTGGCCGGCTGAGGTGAGTCCAGGGGTGAAGGTGGCGCTTCCTCCCTGGACCCTGCTGTGCAGAGCTGGCCTGAGCCCTGCTGGCCCTTGCTCCCCCCCCAGATGTCAAACTACACGTATGCCCAAGGGTCCCACCCCTGGCCTGGAGCCCTGAGTCATCTCCCCACACTGGGCCCTGGAGTTTTTATAGCATGTTGAGGGGGGCGTCAGAAAAAAAAAAGGTTGAGAACTGCTGCTCTAAAGTACACTCTCTGCTAGCTGCAAATGACCTGGCTCTAACTCCATCTGTGTGTTTTACGTGGGAGGGTTGTGATCACCCACAGATCTGTACTAGGCCAGTGGTGTTTAATATATTAATTAACCATCTATAAAAGGGAACGAACAGTGAGGTGTCAAAACGTGTAGGAGGCATTTAACTGTTTGCATTAGTTGAGACTAGAGAAGACTGAATAACACCAGAGGTACCTGACAAAGCTAAGCAAATCAGTGGCATGATGGCAGGTGAAACTCAGTGTCCACAAATACCAAGTAAAGTACATTGGAAGTAATAAGTTGAACTGCTCGTACACAGTGTTGGGGGCGACATTAACTGTAGCCACTAGGAAAAAGAATTTGGCTGCCACTGTGAATAGTTCAAGGCACAGTGGTGAACAAAAAGGCAAACAACGTTAGGATGAACAAATAATGGGACAGAACGTGTTATGCAAATAAATCACTGATATGCCTTCACCTGGAATGCTGTGTTCCCTTCTCATCACCCAGTCTAAAGAAAGATCTAGCAGAAACAGAGAGGGCCGAGAGATGGGTGACAAAAATAACTAGAGGTGGGGAAAGGCTGTCAGGATTGGGGACAACAAAAGCATGTAAAAGAATGAAGGGTGTACAGAAGATAAATAGGGAACCTTCCTATTTGTCCTTTCTAATACAAGAATGAGGGGACATCTAATGAAGTTTATAAATTTGTTGCATTTAACTGATAAATAGAATTTAGTATTTGAGACAATTAACCTATGGAACTCCATGCCACATGATATCATTGAAGCCAAGAGCTTAGGAGGATTCCAAAAAGGATTAAACATGTATCTGGATAATTTATGAGACAGAATTTTATTTATATCATTACATACAAAAAAAAAAAAAAGACACTGCAAGAACATTAAGGTTGCAAAATCAAGTGCTAAAAAGTTGGGAAAGACAGAATTAAGGCTGCCTTTAATTCAGCACCCTTATGATAGTCTTTAATTACATGATCACATTTCAGTATCTTCTTTGAAAACAGAGGCAGAATGCCAGACTGGATGGAGCACTGATCTGATTCACTGCAGGAACTCTCCTTCTAGGGGGGAATCTCCCTATGTCCTATAAATGGAGATGGTGTCTTTCAGAGGCTCAGGAAACCTTATTTTGCATCTTGTCTCCACTGTAGGATCTGACAACAGAGGAGAGCTGGCAGATGACCATCCCAACGGAAGTGCAGCGAATAGTGATTGTGAAGGGGAAGAGATCAAATGAGCATGTACACTCCCAAGGCCGTGTGATGGGTGATCGCAGCGTCCTCTATAAGGTACTGCAGACATTGTTAGCTGAGCTTTGGTGGCTGTGAGCTGTATGCTAAGGTTTCTATGGAATGTGGCATGGAAGCATCAGGGAGCATGATACCCACCTCCTGGGCTTGTAGACACTAAGCATGTTTTAAAAGCTACACTTAACCTGGTTGGAAAGATGTTTTTGCCAGCTATGCTGTCGTCTTGAGCTGTCTGGTAATTCTCTTTATGGAGCAGCCCATATATTAGCAACAAAGGTAGCAAGTCTAATTTGCTATTTATTATTTTCCTGATCCTTTTTTTTAGACCAATGCTGAGGTCGAGAGAGAGGGGGAGAAGGGGTGGGAAAAAATGAGACTTAATGTCCATCCTGGGATGCATCCGCACTTGTCCAGTTCTTTTACCAGACTGGTAAAGGGAGGTCAGAAGGAACTAACTCTGGATTTGCTATGGTCCTGTTCTCCCTCTCATGCTTCCCAACATCGTCGTCATCTTCCATCAAACAATTCTAGCTGGGCAGTGGTGTTGTGAGCTTCCAGCCGAGAGATTGGTTTGGAAGTGGATTGGAGATTAATGACTCTAGGTAAACAGAGAACAAGTGAGTTACAGAACCACTGAGCATGGTCTCCAGGAAGATGTTGCTGGCTGCTGCATTCTTGCAGACCTGCTTCCCAGGTTGGAGGGGCTGACTGTCTGGTTGAGTGATATGGCAAGCGAAGTATTGCATATCAAGGCACTTGCCTTGGGGGAAGATTTTAAAACAAGTGTCTGATAGAACTTTAGTTCTTTTCTCTCCTGATTGGGGAGCACAGCTTTGTAATTCAGAGCCCATTTCTAGCACTGCTGGTCCTGAGTCCTGACCCGAGATGGGACAATTGGTGCCAGGTTTCTGCATACCCACCAGTGTCTCTAAACTTTACTGGAAGACAGGAGAAGCTGAATTTGGGCAGAGGAAATTTTTCCTCTCTAAAAGTTTTCAGGCAGCTATTAAAGACTATGGCTGTATCATGACAGCTGCGGCTGATTATAAATCTGTCCTGATGATTTGTGCTGCTAACAGACATCTTGTTGCCACCATCTTTGGCTACATAGGTCTGGGAAAATCTGCATAGATTGCCGCTGGCACAATGGTTATTAACTAGAGGTTTCCTCACATCTCTTTCCCTGTCCTTGTTATAGTCTTTGAACCCTAACCTGCTGGCAGTGGTAACGGAGAGCACAGATACGCACCATGAACGCACCTTCATTGGAATCTATCTGATTGA